TTTCGTGTAATTTTTTATTTGTTACAAATTTAAATACTATGATTCACACATTTGTCGTTTGGTAATTGATTTTTTTAGTTAGTTTTTAAACTTTTTGATTATTTTAGCCTCGAACTAAGGCCTCTTTTAGGAAGTGGGTTAAAAGTCACTTCTCAACTTTTAATTCATTTTGAGTCACATTATCTCTCATATTTTCTACACATTTTTTCAAAAAAAAATTAAAAAAAAAACTTTTAACCATCTTCCCAAAACACTCTTAAAAGTTTGTTTAGTTTGATTTTTTTGGCTTGTTTGACTTTTGTAAGAGAAAAAATAAAATAATGGAGAGACTTGGTGATAGACCTCTCAGTGTCTAACTTGTCCTTCAAAAGGACAAAATTATATAAATCCTTTCAAAATTCCCTAATATTTTAAAACTTATTTATTTTTTACTATAATACCCTCATATATATGTGTGTGTGTGTGTGTATCAACTTGTAATCACTCTCTCTCATCTCAATCTCTCTTCTCTCTGTCTCGCACTTATCACTATTCTCTTCATCGGTGTCATCGTTGCTCTCTATTGGCACCACCACTGCTCACCATGGAACTCTTTCTCTACCGTCTTCATCATCACTATCATTTGTTGCATCCATAACTTCAAATCTGAGATCATTCACAATTGTCATCACCAGAAAATGACGATTTGTGACGGTTCACAAACCTCAAATCTGAGATCCTTCACACTCACTCACACACTCTCTCTCTCTCTCTCTCTTTCTCCCATTCTTCTTCTCTTGATAATCTATTTTCAAATTCTGTATTTCTATCTCTCTTTCTTCTTTTCATGATGCTTTGCTTTTTCAATAGTAAAATTTTACTCTAGTTCATGAAACAAAACTCTTCTGTAAAGCCATCATCGTAGCTTGTTTCAGAGTAAAATTTTACTTTGAATTATAATAAACTTTACTCTGATTCAGAGTAAAATTTTACTCTGTAATTAAGATATAAAAAAAAGAGTAAAATTTTACTTTGAATTAGAGTAAAATTTACTATGATTCAAAGTAAAATTTTACTGTCATTAAGCAGATCAGTATTGTCACGACCTGAACCCGTCCTTATGGGTTTAGCATCTTAACCGCCCAGTAATCCTTGGATTACCAAAGGCCTCCTGACAGATTAACATATTGTAAGGGGCCGTAGAAGCAAATATACAAAACATACAAAGTCTATTGAGCTGTGAAGACGTACATGAGACAGATAATTTAAATACCTTTTTTTAGACGTGTGAATGACGACAAAAGATACAACATTTACACATCATTCTATCCATATGTTATCAGAAATCTTGTCCAAATATCACATAGTATAACATAACTTAACATGTTTACAAAAACAGCCATAAAAACTTGACTTCATCTGGAACCTCCTCAGGAGGCGCAGGGGTTGGCTGACAAAAACAGAACTTAGGCCGTCAACTCTGGGCCTGGTCGTGGGCCTGTTCATCTACATACATAATATAAATAGTGAGCTAAAGCCCAGTGAATAATAACAGAGTAAAGACTTTAATAAATAATGTCTCATGACTATGGCTGAAACTGAAATTCATATTCATATTCTAAGCATACATAGAATTCAGAGTTCCTGCTTAGTCTTACATAATACATCCATCAGCGCTGATAGATCACACATACAATATCTTAAATCATACTTGTCAGTTCTATATAAGAACCTTCGGCCGGGTAAGAATAACTTGTCAGTCCCATGAAGGGACCTCCGGACTGAGAACTTGTAAACTTGTCAGTTCCATCAAGGAACCTCCAGCCGGGCATAGATGGCTTGTCAGTCCCATAAGGGACCTCCGGACCGGGAACTTGCATATACTTGAATCATAGCATTATGTCATAATTGCTTGTTAGACTTGGGCAATCATTCATGGCATAAAACATAACATTTCATAAAACAGTTCTTAATCCGTGGGCAGAAAATAATTTACTTGAACATAACTTTACTAAGTTATTATTCACAGATAATAGGTGTCGCAAGTAGGCAATTCAGCTTCCATGTGGCACTTAACCTACATGGTTACAAAACGAACATATCCCGAATTACACACCCGTAAATGATAACTTGGTCCTTTCTTGTTCTGGTGTGTACCTACATCATTACCCTTATCATGGGGTTTTAATCATGGCTTAGGAATGTCTAGAATGGAATGAGGATGCAAAAATACACTTGAAAACATTTCTCAAATTTTGTTGAAAATAGGGTCTACACTCAAGCGTAGATTTCCCCGCTCGAGCGGTCATGTAAGATGTGAAGGTTCGCTCGAGCGTGACTTACCCCGCTCGAGCGGACTATAAACTTAGAAAAAAAAGTATTGGTTGTATGTTTTTCATGCTCGACGGACGCTCGATCCCCGCTCGAGTGTGAGACTTAGACCTACGCTTGAGCGTAAATTACCTCGCTCGAGCGGACTGTAAAACATATGAACTTCTGGGTATATGCATTTCACGCTCGAGTGGAAGTGCACGTACTCAAAGTGTCCGCTTGAGCGTGAAGTCCCCCGCTCGAGCGTGGATCAAATTTCTAGAATTTCCAAATTTGATCTTCAAGCTCAAACTCAACCTTTAAAGCATCAAACCTCATTTTTCCGGGACAAAACTTGAGAAAATACGTGAAAACCCTTAAAACAACATGAATTAAGGATTATATCAAGAAATCATGGTCCAATTGGCTTGCCAATTATGAAAAATTCAACTCAAAATTCATGAATAATCTATGAACATGACATGCATGCATCTCTTTGAACTCAAGTTTCTCAAAACATGATCAAGTGCTACAAAATGACATAAAACTCAATGTTTTCTCAAAATCAAAGTGACTTCAAAACATGCATGAGGGAATTCTTGAAGATTGAACTCAAAACATGGGGATTTGTGCATGCATGTATGGAATGACCTAATTCTCTACATTTCTAACTCAATTCTCGCATTATGCATCTTACCCTTCATGTGTTCATGCATTAGAATCTAAACTTCAAGGCTTAAGGACAAAATTCTTACCTAGAGGCTTGAATTCACGAGTGTTGAGATTGTAGCTCTCAAATTTTCTTTAGTTCACCTACAACCCTAGCAATCCTCCCTTCTTCTTGTTTTTTATTTCAATTCTCCTTCCCTCTCTCTCACTCTCACGTTTTTTTTTTTTGTAGAGCAGACTCAAAAATGTATGCAAGTGTATGAGAATAGATGAGTGGGCTCATAAAAGAAATGGTGTTTAATTAGATAAGGTCATAGGCAACTAAGTGAGATTAAATTAATCTTATTTAATCGTTCTGAAACAAATTTTAATTGAACCTACCATGAAATCCTAAAAATTTTAATCAACACATAAATCAAATCAATTTATGTATCGGATGTCGATAAGGCTTTCAATTCGCAATCGAAATTAAAACATGAACAAATCTTTCTACGCTGAACAGATAGAGACACATCAATAATGCAATGCACATGCAATTAACTCATGATTTCTTCTTAGTTACTTGTTAGGCACACTTAAGCATGAATTAATGTTAATTAAAGGTCGGGGTTGTTACAAGTATGTTGCTAACCAGAGTAAAATTTTACTGTTATGAAAACATAGTACATATTAAATGAACGAATTAGAGTCAAATTTTACTCTTAGATCTATGAACAAACAAACAAAAAATTCTTAATTTTTCATTGCAATATCTCAATTTTTTATTTTTCTGTCAAATCTAAATTTTTTTATATCTCTAATATGAAATTATTGATCTCAAATATGAGTGAGTGCTGTAAAATAAATAGAAGAAAAAGAGGGTATAATGATCAAATAAAATATTCAAATAACAAACTTTGTCATTTATACAGAATTTTATAATTATATGGGGGTTTTGAAAGTACTAAATCTTTTTTTGTCATTTTAATAAGAAAAGGAAGCTAAGAAGGATTTATGGCCAAATTTTCCTAAAATAATTATGATTTAGATGTAACATTTTGTATTATTAACTTATTTAACCTATTTTGTCTTTTGCTATTTTTTTAGCCAAAAAGTCATAACCAAATGTGGGTGTTGATTTCCGACCATATAACCAAAAGAGGGAACTTAGTTGGAGAGCACTAACAGAATAGATTAAACCCGAACAACCTGTCACAGAAATATAAGAATCTCGCGGTGGTTCGTCCACCCAGGGGCACTCCGACGATCAAGTCAGTAAAATATCTCTCAAAGATAACTAATAGTGCTTAACTTACTAAATAGAGCATAAAAAGCATACTTTAACTCATAAGGGTGCCTCTCTTTTATAACCAACACAAACCTAATCCCAATAGAAGCCTAGCTTCAATGGAATCTGGATTACTACTAATCTTGGACTTCCAGTAAGATTGAGATTAATTCTCTGAGAGTCTTATCTTTATCCAAACTGAAGTCCTCTCCCAATCTAGGACTCTAGCCCTTTATCCAAATAGATAGTTTGATGTCATCTAGGACTCTAGTCCTCTATCAAAATATCTCAGATTACGGTATTATCGCATCATATCTCGGCATCATGGTCCGCCCACGTGGCACCTCAGTTAACAAGCTCGGCCACGTAGACTACCTAAAAATATGTCCCCACACCAAACAAATGGATATGAAAAACATGATATTTATAACATTGTAAAAAATAATCATATAAATAGTAGAATCCAGTATATCTTTAAGAAAATGTTATGAATTTTAAATAATTTATTAATTTTTTTATCAATTTTTTTTGCATAAGTGTAAGATCTACCCAATTCCACATATGTGTGGATCCTAAACCTATGAATAGATCTCGCACCCATATAAAAAAGATTTAATAAAAAATTTAATAAATTTTTTAACACAACTCATATCTTTATCCACCTACTATTGTTTATGCTTATTTTATATGTTTTTGAAGCCTAGTAGAAAACAAATTTATTATTTTTCGCAGTCCGTATTGCTAATCAAAATATACATAAGAGCAGAGACGAGAGGAAACGATCAAAAATAGCCGACTACTACTGCCTCCTCCTCCACCCTCAAATATAGAGAGAGAAAGAAAGACATATACAGACATATAGAGAGACAGAGAGAGAAACAGAGTCGCAGAAATGGCGCTCTGCTATCGCTCTGCACATTGTTTTTGGTGAGAGAGAGAGAGAGATTGGTGTTTTTTCTAGAGAGAGAGAGAGAGAGAGGGAGGAGATGCAGAAGCGGAGGTGGAGGTGGAGGTGGAGGACGTTGGGAATACTGAGGAAGTTGCTATCGTGCGCCATAGGTTCAATAGGTCTACTGGCTCTGCTCTATGCTCATGTACGACCATTCTTTTCTTCCCAAGTGACCAAGTTACCTGACCTTTACAAGCCTCTCATGGTGACCTTTTCTCTCCCTCTCCCCCCCACCCTCCCTCAATTCCTCTTCCTCCTCCTCTTTCATACACTTTCTCATTCTAGGGTTTCAAGTTCTTCAACCCCCTTAATTTCATTTTAATTCATCATCCCCTATTTTCCTTACACTTCCGTCAAGCTTTTACAGTCTATTTGATTCAGTTTTTGATCCATTTTTGTAATATCATTATTTAAAGAAATACTACTGCTTTTTCTAATCTAAGAAATAAAGGGTAATTATATATATTCACACATACACTACACATACATGTGGCTTTTGAATACGTCACAAATTCCTCTTATGCTATGTTATTATATTTTTTTGGATTTGGGATATTGTAAAATGAGATTATTATAATTCAATTTTTTGCAGCAACAAGAAATTGGAATGGTGGGAGGAGAGCAAAGCTGGATTGTAGAATTGGTGCCTCCCCATTTGCCAAGAGCTCCTCTACCTCCTAGCAAGGTGTTATGCTTCTCTTGGTGTGATTTCATTAGTTTTGTGTTCATTTTAACCTATTTAAACAATTTGATTCTTAAGTTTCTAGTCCTGCCGAAAGGTTTTCATCAAGAAAAATGCTATTTTAGTTATGGTATATGTGTGTTGTGATGGCATCTATACCATATTATGTATCATATACTATAATAGTATAAACGTGTATGCATATTGATACAAAATAGTCATGCATCTTTCATGTTTTCACTCCTTTAGACTTGACAGTTGGATGTTGCAAGTGGGATTTTGGATTTCGACAAGCTATGGAAGCCGCCTTCAAATCGAGATTATGTGCCCTGTGTCGAGCCAAGTTCAAACTACACAAGTAAGGAAGTTGTAGTTTTGGTTTGAGTTTGCACTTATGAAACTCATCTGTCGTTGTTATTGTCTGTTCATTTGTTCATTCATTCATTGTTGTTTCATCAGCTTCTGGAGGGTCTCAAGGTTACCTTCTTGTTCATACAAATGGTGGATTAAATCAGATGCGAGCTGGGGTCTGCATCCTCTCTCTCTCTCTCTCTCTATATATATATATATATAAGCTTTATTAAGTCAGTCTTATTTTACCTTTTGTTGAGACCCCTATCATCCGGATCATTGCTTCTACAATTAGGGATTTTTTTTTTTATTTTTTATTTTTAATTTTATTCTGTGCTGGATTGGATTGTTGATAAGTTGGGTGATAATTGGTAAACTTGAAACAACATAATAGCCACTCCAGCCATAACCTGTTATGAGATTTTAAGGTTTGAAAGCCATTATGCTTTGCCAATACCTGCCAGTCTCCAGATTATGATCATGGTGAAAAAGCTTTAATGTAGTTCATATTCAAAAGCGTTATTACTGGTTTTCCTTTTTAAATGGAATTTTTTTTAAAATTTGGTGACAAATTAATTACATAATGGAACAATTTCCTTCTCATTTATGAAATGGAGGAATAAAAAAAAATTCATGAGTTACTGCTTAAATTATTTAATTGTATTCAAGATACAAAAATACACCTTTATGCATGACTTCCTTGTGGAAAAGATTGGAAGTAAGTAATTGAGGGTGCTCTGTACTAAACTCCAATAAAATAATATTGTAACGGTTCTGTGATAGTTGGTTTGTGAATTGGGTGTAATCCAGATTTGCTTCCTTTTCCCATAGTTGAGTGGGAAATAGTCCCTCAAACTGTTCTATAATCATTGGAATTGAGCATCCTTCTTTCATGTGAACAATAAGATATCTAATTGCATCAATGACTTCATTTTGCACATTCATAGAGCTTCGATGAATGTTCAGTATGCTATTTAACAAACTCTGGAGCTTTAGGGGTGGAAATTTTTACTTAAACCAAACATGCATAACTTTTTGTGAGTGACCACTCTAATCCCACTATTGCTTAGTAGTCAATCAAATTAGACTCACATGGTTTCGGATGGTTTTGGACTATTCCATACCAAATTTGCCAGAGCGTATTTATGGTAATCATGACATCTAATTAAGTTGGCTATTTTGATGTGTGGTGAATGAGTTTTCTATTTGGCAGATATGCATGCAATATATTAATTTTACTTGTTATTTTGGCACTGTACCTCTTTCTATCAGTTGTTCATTATATATCTTGGCAATTGATAAATAACTAATTGTACGGCTGTTGTTTTCCATAATTACATTATATGACACAAGAGCGATGCATAAGTAAAGCTGCCAAGTCATCAATATACATTTCATCACTATCATAATAGTGTTGAGTATTGATACATCTATTACATGAAGCTGAAGAACTGTATTTTTCTCGACTTGCAGATATGTGACATGGTTGCTGTTGCCCGAATTATAAATGCTACTCTTGTAATTCCAGAACTTGATAAACGGTCATTTTGGCAGGACACTAGGTACCATTTTTCAGATTTATATTTTGCATTTGTGTCTAAAATCTGCATGCTCGATGCTATTGTTAATATTACATGTTCAAACTGCAGCAATTTTTCTGATGTATTCGATCAAGATCATTTTATTAGTTCCTTGGCTAATGATGTAAAGGTCATTAGAAAACTTCCGAAGGAACTGGCAAATGCAACTAGAGCAGTTAAGCACTTTAGAAGCTGGTCTGGTATTGATTATTACCAGGATGAGATTGCTAGCATGTGGGCAGATTATCAGGTATGTTGACTGGAAGCATTCATCCAGAAAGTAATTCAATATTTCAAATGCAACATTTTGAATTTTCACAACTTTCTATAGGTTATTCGAGCAGCTAAGTCTGATTCTCGCTTGGCAAACAATAATCTGCCTCCCAACATTCAGAAGCTGCGCTGTCGTGCTTGTTATGAAGCCCTACGTTTTTCACCACGCATTGAAGCAATGGGAAAAGTAACATCTTAAAATTAATCTTTTTCAGGGTGGCTTTATCTGTATTGGGTTGGGCTTAGGGAGTGTCATCTTTCTGTTGATTTTGTAGTTGTTGGTGGATCGGATGAGGTCTTATGGTCCATATATTGCTTTGCATTTACGATATGAAAAGGACATGCTTGCCTTCAGTGGATGCACACATGATTTATCACCAGAGGAGGCTGATGAATTGAAGATTATCAGGTGGGACATGTCTCTATAATTTTGCTGATAATAATCAATATTGTGTTTCTGCTTTGTGGACTTATTTGACTGAACATCCTTTAATGGATATGTATGCTGTCTGACATTGACTTTCTGTGTCATGTTTTCGTTTTGAGCTTGTAGGGAGAACACTGTGTATTGGAAAGTAAAGGATATCAATTCTACCGAACAGAGAGCCAAAGGATATTGCCCCTTGACTCCAAAGGAGGTTGGAATATTCCTTGCTGCTTTGGGATTCCCATCAAGCACCCCCATATATATCGCTGCTGGAGAGATATATGGGGGTGATTCTCGTATGGCTGATCTGCAATTGCGCTATCCCTTAATAATGAACAAGGTATGCCATGGAGGCATCCATTTGTTTGATAATTCTTTTATTTCCCTAGCAGAGAAATAAAATGTTTTGCTGTCAATAAGAATGGCTTACACTCCAACAGCATCCTTTAAACTGGATATGAGGACCTCATGCATGTCTGAATTTACGAGAAACTCATATTGTGAAAACTATAATGTACTGTTAATGATAATGCTACGCTATAGTGACAACCACCAGTGCAAGTGAGTAGTGCCATGTGCATTGCATGTGCTTAATGTGCCATACTTGTATACTAATTAGAGGAAGTAGTCATTAGTAACGAAAAGGGGACCATATGCCAACCTTAAGTTATTATTGAGACTGTTGGCTCTGGCCGAGGGGTATCTTGTTACATTTTTTCCCTAGATTGCAGGATCAAGGGGGGTTGTTCATTAGATGTGTGTTGTGCCTTTCAGCTAGTGTGTTAATAGACGGGTCTTAACTTTGGATGTAGGAGCATCGTCTATGATCAGATCTGGATGTAGGAGCATTAACTAATCTGGTTTATCCTATAGAACTGTATCTGGCTTCTAGTTTGCTTAGGAAATTAATGTCTTATTCATTGTGATTAGAAACTACTGCATCTTATAAGTTGCTGAAGTACATATATGTTGCTATCTAAAAGTACAATAGTATGAGGTAATCCTAAGATAACTGTAGAACATTATTATTAACACATAAGTACTATATATAGTAGATATATCATATAGGTAGGTTTGGAATATATCCATATTGAATTTACCTGTATTTTATTTCCATCTGATTGTGTTTGATTTTCATAACACAAGAACTATCTGTCAATTTGTAAACATGCTTAAATAATAAACATGCTTCATAATTAAATATATTTATAATATATATATATATATATGTATTTATAACAAGTGGGAAGTTATTCACAAGTAAGAAAGTTAAATAAATCCAATAAAAAGAAAAATTGCCATAGTGACTTGAAACTAATGTAAAAATTAACCTATATATTGGATCATGTTTAAAAACTAAGCAAACCGAGAAAACCACTTTTAAGAAAATATATAGGAAAATTTTTGGGATTGCTTTAAATAGCCAAATTCTCCATTTGGAACAAAAATTTATCATGTTTGAACGAATGTGTGTTTCAAAACATAAATTGCTAGGGTATTAGTTTTTCAGGTAACATTGGGAGAACGTTTTAAATCAGATAATTATATCCTAATATGATTTTTTTTTCTCTCTTGCTTTTACCTTACTTTTCATGATGTGCTTGGGTTTCTATTTGTAGTTTTTTGTGACTACTTTACAAAGTAAAATGAAGTGTTGTTTAAGGTAGGGAAAAAAAAAAAAAACTGGCGGCAGTAGCATGTACAAGAGTGCAAGTAATTTGTCATGGCATGCACTTTCTAGTCACTAAATGCATTGGTGATGAATCTATGCTCATGAAGAGAATCAATTTCTACTCTGAGAAAAACCTTTGAGTAAGAAAGTGGCTGCAGTGATAGCTAGAGATCATGTCCCTTATTTTTTGTAACTACCAAACATAAAAAAACAAAATAGAATAGTAGGGAAGAAAATTAAAGAAATGACAAAAATCAACATGTGAAGTTTGCTTTCTAAAAGCATGATCCTATGTTGGCAACAAGGTTGCCATACCCTTTGTAAAACTTGAAAAAATAGTGAGAGTTTTTCTTTTTCTTTGTATAGGATTAGATGTTTATTTTGGGAATGTGAACTTCTACTGAAGCATGAAGGCAGGAGGAGGAATTGGAAATGGAGATGAACTGACATGAAGTGATATTCTTCCAACCATGACACAATGATTCTATCTCGTCCGTTTCATGCAGAATCTAACATTCTGTTCTTTGAGATTTTTCGTAGGCTGATTGTAACAAGTTTATGTCACTGAAACATATATAGTGAGCTGTGGAAACAAAGCTTGATGGTTACTTTAGAGTGTTTTGATGTATTTCAGGCATTGAGATGCTCGACATGTCAAAATGATCTATGGGATTGTTACCTGTGCTTCACTCTTTATTGGACTATCTATTGCTCCCATGGGCACGGAGTAGAAGACTCCTACAAAGACTAATCTGACAGGCAGATAAAAGGTGATAAAGGAGAAAATAACCTAGCAGCAGAATCTTTGTCTGGTGTTGAGCTTCAGTATGAGTAAAGAGTCAGCCTTTAGAAGTTCAGTTAGACAGTAACTGAAATGTGTTTTTAGTTTTTTTCTTGTCATTTCTTTGCTTTGAATTCAAATGTGGGTCGAACTTGAGTAATGAGGAGGTTTAAAACCCACAAATTGATTTCTCATTTTAATGATAGATGAAGTTCATAAACAATGCAAAGTGCCTCTAATTACAGGATGGATTTTAAATCGCAACCGCCTTATGTATAGGGGTGATGGACAAAATCCCAATTATAAACCCTTCAAGTTACACTTTTGGGCACTCAATTCTTGAAATGAACTTGCAGTTTGAAGACAAACGCCATGTTTTTTGCTTTAAGTACTATCAGTTCTCTCTATCTCTCTTGCACATGCACACGTGTGACCATTGGAAAGATTTATCAGTTAATTGTTTTCTTGTCTGAGATTTGAGAAACGAGGTTAGGGATAATAAAGTCTGAAGTTATAGATGTTGTTTGATGGCTAGCAGATTAGTCTAAGTTTTTTTTTTAAAAAATTTGCAGGAAAAACTGGCATCAGCAGACGAGCTGGAGCCTTTTATCAACCATGCATCTCAAATGGCTGCTCTGGACTACATTGTATCAGTTCAGAGTGATATATTTATTCCCTCCTACTCTGGAAACATGGCAAGGGCAGTTGAAGGTCATCGTCGTTTCCTGGGACATAGGAAAACTATTTCTCCTGACAGGCAAGAGAACTAATATTTCAGAGCACATCCAGGTTTCAATAATTTCTATGTACTGTTAATTCTCTCAAAATTTTGAAAGTGTTTCTCGCTTTATTTTTGTTATCTTCAGGAAAGCCCTTGTCCACCTTTTTCGCAAAATAGAGCAGGGAAGACTGAAAGAAGGCAAAAAGCTTTCCACTCGTGTTATTGAAATCCACAAAAGACGGTACGTGAATGTGAAGATTCCTTATCTGCACCCGTTTTGTTAGAAATATGATGATGCTATCCATATGTTCTACTTTGTGGCATAATCAATTAAATTAGAAGTGGTTTTTCAATGTGTGATGTCCAAATTGTCATTCCTTGAGAAAATTTTTTGGTCGAAGTAACTTGTTTTTCTCTTCTGTTTTTATTTTCTGGAACATAGGCCTTAATATTTCATGAGCACCCTACAGAGCCTCCAGTGATGATTTATTTTATTGGTAATTTTCCATACAAGACCCGTGTTTTCTGGGGGTCTTGTGTCATTGTTTATGGTAGTTGTAAATATAGGCCTGTAGTCATTTCTCTTACACTTCTGTTGATAGTTGAGGGGAAAGCGAATAAATTTTGACTTGTTATGTTTTTAGCTGAATGAATGGCTTGGAGGAATCAGTATCCTCTCTCTCTCCGCAGATGATACCTTAGCATGCTGCACACCTGGGATAGAGGAACACGATGTAGCATTTGAACATTTTCTGGAGTTTCTCTTAAGTTCCAACTTAATATGACAAATCACTTGGTGACCATTATTACTAAGTTTGCTTTGCTTGTTTCTTTTTTATTGGTGGCACAGGCAAGGGTCCCCCAGGAAGAGAAAAGGCCCCATTTCAGGGACAAAGGGCATGGATAGGTTTCGCTCAGAAGAAGCATTCTATGTGAACCCCTTACCAGATTGTTTATGTCAAAAGGAATCTTTATCAAGTATGAATGCCTCTTTTATTATCAGGTAGATAAGAGTAGCTGAACAAATTCCTCTGCAACAAAATCCCCCCCCGGCCAGTGGATTGGTGGCTGTTCAATTCTTGTAAGTGCACGGAATGTTCATATCCCAAGAGTAAGGCTTCTGGGTGAATACCTCTGGGTGAGAAATATGATGCATTTAGGCTGGGGAAGGAGGATGACTGTTTTACTGAAAGCAAGGATTGTCCTTCCATTATGAAGGCAGATAGATTATTAGAGTGCAAAGTCGATGAAGTTGCAAGAGTAGTTGGCACATACGATACTATATTAGTGCTATTGTTAGAATGACAGTGTGCTCTGTTGATGTAATCAATTACATTATTCATGGGCATTCAATGCAATAAAAGGGAGGGAGAATTGATTCTTTTCCCTTCATTTTTTGGGGACACTGATTCGCTTCCCTGATTTGCTTCAGGAAATGAAACTGGTGCCACTATTTCCCTTCATTTTTTGGGGACACTGATTCGCTTCCCTGATTTGCTTCAGGAAATGAAACTGGTGCCACTACTAGAAAAAGAGTGAGTTTGTTTGTTTTTTTGTTTTTTTTTTGCGTTCATTTTTTGTGTTGGCTCTTTTGCCAATGGTAAAACGTATATATATATATATATATATTAAATGCTACTGAATTCTGCTTGGCTTATATGGGTTTCGTTTTCCAGAGGTAAAAGAGTTATTTTTTATTTTTATTTTTTTTGGGAGAAAACAGCAAACATATAATACTAACATTAAGTGGAAAAATTATTTACAGACCGGGCCAAGTCAAGAACTGGCTTACCGTTCGTCCTATTGACCTTTGAGGCACTAATATAACTAAAATACTTACAAGGTGACCAAATATCCACCACTAAAGTTGCGCAGGTCCAAAAAGGTTGGACTCATTTACACAAAACATAAACCAAAATCTGTGAGTCCGGCCATATGTGAATGTTTAGAAGTCTCTGTTCCTTTGCCCATTGAATAGCTCGTTGGCAAGCAGTGACCTCCGCTGCAAAAGCTGAAGGAAGATTAAGTTGAGCAGCTCTTTGAGCTATGGGTTCCTCATTAGCATCATAACAGACACAAGCTATGCCTGCACTTCTGTTGTCTTTCCTCCATGATCCATCAATAATCAATCTGTGTTCCTGCAAATCAACATCATGAGGTGCATCGTTCACAAGTACACGTGGCATGTAAAACCTCTGGAGAATATGTTTCATTTTCCTCATTATCCAGCATACCCTCATTCTGCCTCTGTGCCCTGTTTCCAAAGGCTGAGGAACAAAATAACTCTTGGGCTAGAGCAATAGTTTGTTGACAAGTTAACAGGTTCCCTTGAAAAACCACACTATTTCTTTGTTTCTGGATTGCCCACAACAGTGTAATAAGCCTTTGGTCATCATCCGAATCGTGGATCTCATTCCTCCAATGAGTTAACCAAGAGAAAAAGGGGACAGCATCTCCCATTGAAAATGATGACATAGAAGAAACTTGTATATTGATTACCTAAATGAATCAAGAACTGAGTACAAATATATAATCTAATAGGATAAAACCCTAATAACTTAAAGGACTAAACTATCCTTAATGAATGATATAAACTATTACAATTATAATTCACACCCCCCCTCAAACTGAGGATGCGAGCACAGAAAGTATTAAAAGTTTGCCAAGAAGAAAACGAAAATGAGCAACAATGTGAGTTTTCGTAAAAAAATTGGCCAGCTGAAGAGAGGAGGGAACAAAAGGGAGAGTAATAGTGCCAATCTGAAGATGTTGTTTGACAAAGTGATAATCTAATTCAACATGCTTGGTCCGCTCATGGAAGACTAAATTTATGGGCAATCTGGACAGCACTCTGATTATCACTATACAACGGAGTCGAATTAGAAAGAGAGACACCTATATCAGAAAGAAGCCATCGAAGCCAAACGATCTTGGACGTAGCATGAGCCATGACACGAAACTCGGCCTCAGCAGTGGAACGAGCAATAACAGACTGTTTCTTACTTTGCCAAGATATGAGAGAATCGTTGAGGAAAACACAAAGACTAGAAGTGGATTTGCGATCAGAAATGTCACCTGCCCAATCAGCATCAGCATAGGCACGAAAAGTCCAATCTAAAGAGGGAAATAACACAGACATTGCAACAAAGTGCCACGAAGGTAGCGCAGAGTACGGAGTAAAGCAGCCCAATGTGTGGAACGAGGAGTAGAAACAAACTGACTAAGAATGTGCACAGCATAGGAGATATCCGGACGAGTAATAGTGAGACAAACAAGGCACCCAACCAACTCGCGATACAAAGTGGGATCCTCAAGTGGAACGCTATTAGAAGCAAAAAACTTAGCATGTAACTCAAGAGAAGTGTTGACAATTTTGTCATCAATGAGATTGGCACGAGAAAGAATATCACGGGCATATTTAGTCTAAGAGAGAAGATACACAGTAGGAGAAGTAGCAACCTCAATACCAAGAAAATGCCAAAGAGACCCTAAATCCTTAATCTCGAACTCCTAAAACAATTGATGCTTAACCGCCTCAATAGTACTAGAATCAGAGCCAATGATGATCATATCATCTACATATAAGAGAAGTAGAATAAGGCCAACAGAAGTGCGCCGAACAAAGAGAGCACAATTATGATGACTAGGGCGAAAACCAAGCTGAAGTGCAACAGAGTGAAATCGCTCATACCAAGCACGAAGAGACTACTTTAGACCATATAGAGCACGACAAAAAAGACAAACAACACCAGGAGGATGAGAGAGACTCAATGGAGGGCACATATACACTTCTTCAGCAAGATGCACATTCAGAAAAGCATTTTTGACATCTAGTTGAAACAAAGGCCAGTGATGGGCAGCAGCAATAGAGAGAAGAGTGCGAACAATAGTCATCTTGGCAACGGAGGCAAAAGTCTCATCGTAATCAATCCCATACTCTTGAGAAAAGCCTTGGGCAACCAAACGAGCTTTGTACCGTTCCAAAGAACCATCAGAAAGGGTTTTGACCTTATAGACTCATTTACAGCCTACAACATTCTTGCCAGCAGGTAATAGAACCAAATCCCAAGTTTGAGTGTTAGCCAAAGCAGTTAACTTGCCATTCATGGCAGCAATCCAATTGGGATCATGACAAGCTTCCTTGTAGGACCTGGGCTCAAAATAAGTAAGAAGACAAGAAAGAAAAGAATGATAGGAAAGGGAAAAACATGTATTACCAAAACCATACCAATTCGGAGGATGATGGTCTCGCTTTGGAAAGCGATGTGCAGAAGGAGCGAGATCCAAGGAAACAGCTTGAGGGACAGTAGAGCTAGAGACAAGCGAGCTCAAAAGTGTTTTGCGACGTTGATAAGCAAGAAGAGGAGTAGGGGAAATAGTAGCTGGAGAAGGAGCAGGAGTAGGGGAGGGAGTAGCTAGCGAGATATCAGAAGTGCTAGTAAGAGGCAAGGTAAAGACCTCAAGATCATAAACAAACTCATCGAGAGAAACATCAGAAGGAAATGGGTCAACGTGAACCAATTCATCCTTGGTAATAGGGACAATGGTGGAAAGTATAGTATAATAGGGTAGTTTTTCTAAAAAGGTGACATGCCTAGACACATATAGCTTTTTGGTGGCAGGATCATAGCACCGATAACCTTTCTGATTAATGCCATACCCTAAAAAGACATAAAGGACACAACGAGAACTAAGCTTAGAGTACTCCCGTTTAGGAAGAAGCACAAAGCATGCAGAACCGAAAACACAAAGAAGAGAATAATTAGGAGTAACACCAAAAAGACGCTCATACAAAGAGAAGTAGGCATCCGATTGAGAAGATATGTAGTAGTGAGCATAACTTCTTCCCAGAAAATAGAAGGGACAAAAGATAAGCAATAAAGAGCGACTTGTATCAAGGAGATGGTGATGTTTGCGCTGAGCTCTACCATTTTGGATAGGAGTGTCAGAACACGAAGATTGATGAATAGTGCCATGAGTAGCTAAAAACTCCTCAAACTTAGACAAGTAATACTCACCCCCCAAATCACAACGAAGAACGTTAATGGTGGTGGAAAACTGAGTGCTAATCATGAAGTGAAAATTAGAATATATTTTGTAAAAATCAGTTTTTTGAGTCATCAAATAAACCCAAGTAAACTGACTGTAATCATCCACAAAAGACATATGATATCGTGAACCACCCTTGATAACTATAGGGGAAAAACCCCAAACATCTATATGAACCAATTGAAAATGAAAAGATAAAATAAAACTACTTTTATTAAAAGGAAGAGCAGACATTTTAGCCAGTTTATAACCACGACACTCAGAAATATCATCAATAGGAAAATTGCCTAAATGTCCAAACCGAACTAATATCCTCAAATGATCACTCGACAGATGACCTAACCTAGAATGCCAAATATAAAATAAAGAATACTTATTGTTTAAACAAAAAGAAGACAATGCAGTAGAAGACATTTCTGGAGGAACATGCAAGCTGTCCAAGATATATAGTTCTCCAACTCTATGCCCAGTCCCAATATGTCTCTTGGATACTTGATCCTACACAACACAATGAGAAGAAGAGAAAACAACATCAAAACCGGAATCAGATAATTGACTAATAAAAATAAGACTGAGTGAGAGGTGAGGCATATAAAATACAGGAGAAAGAGACAAATGGAAAGAGAAAATAGAACCAATAGAGTGTACAGGCATAGAAGAACCATTAGTGGTAGCAATAGTGATAGAAGAAGAATGGGAGACACAATTACTGAGGATAGATGCAACATGGGTATATGATGTGAACAGCTAGAACAAAAAATCCACGAAGTGTGGATATTACTTGAAGAGGATAAACCAGACAAACCTAACTGAGTAGTAGTCATAGTTGAGGCCTAGGACGAAAGATTTGGATTGGCCACCATAAAAGACTTGAACTGCTCAAACATAGACTGCATATTGAAAGACAGACCATTCTCATAAATTGGTGCAGAAAAGACGACAAATGAGCGAGATCCTGAAGATGTCGGCTTAAAGGATGGTGGACCAGATGAACGACTCTTGGGCTGCAAAAGTTTAGGACAAGCATGTTTCCAATGGCCTTTTTGATGACAGAAGCTGCACTTATCCGTGGAAACCCGAGGCTTAGGCTTACTGGTAACCTAAAATAAAGGAGAATGTGGAGGGGGGAGGGAGGGCAAGAGTAGATGAGTGGCAAAAACTAATTGGGAAACAGGAGCACCATGAGCCACCTTAAATAGAGTTTCTTCTGTAATAAGCTCACAAACAACACCATCCATAGAAGACAAGAGAGACCGATGAAGAACAACTCCTCGAAGTGGCTCAAATTGATCACGAAGAGCCATAAGAAATTGAGCAAGACATTGCTTCTCCCGATACTTGGTATAATTGTCAAGT